TCTGGACCCAACCCGACCCGACTTGACTCAACCCAATAGGTCGGAACCCACCCCAAATGTTATTGTATACCTCTCATGTGCCATGCATGTGTAAGTGTTGTAGTGTGCTTGGCAACCTAGCCCAAACTGGTCAGCTAAACCTGAAAAACTAAGCTCGGGCAAAAAAATTTGGCTAAGGGTTGGGCTTGGGCTACAACCAAGATTAGCCCGGCCCTACTCCAGTCAATTTGGTCTTGTTCAGGCTTGGGCTCAGGCCCCCTCAGCCTGGTTCGGCCAGGCCGAGCTAACCATTTACAGGCCCGAGCCTTGATGGCCCTGCCCAAGCGTTGCCAAGTCTTTCGCATTCTGTCGTGCATGCATATTTCCAACTCTTATATAACCTCTCACCCTCTACTGTCACCATTAACATATCAAGAAAAATAAAAAAAACTTAACATGTGGTGCCACCTAAATACAAAAGCATATGTGACTGCTATTCCAAACCTCTGATCTAAACACTAACTTATAACACTTATAAGTTAAGAATAACACTAACTTATAACACTAACCTTCTATAAGGCTTTGGAATCTAAGGTTTGAAAATCCTTTTTTCTTGACCTCGACCATTATAGTTGTAGAAAAAAACAAAAAAAAAGGATTTCAAACCTTAGAAAATGTGACAAAAAAAGGATTCCAAAACCTTGGGTATGAAAAATCTCTACCATTAGTCTAAAATTAATTTCCACCACCGATTATAAAATTTGTAGTCCAAAAAATGGTACAAATCTTATAGAACTGTGAAGACTGGAAAATGAATTTTTTAGATAATGTGTTATATTGTACATTTTCTAAGGTTTGAAATCCTTTTTTTTTTGTTTTTTTCTACAACTATAATGGTCGAGGTCAAGAATTTTCCAATTCTAGAACTGCACCTTTCTGGGAGTAATGAAATGAGGCTTTACTTATTGTGATAGAGCTACAACCCTACCAATACATTTCCCTTTAGAAATTGCTCATATGCACTAATGTGACACATTTATGACTTATATGTGAGGTAGGATAATAAGAGAGAGAGAGAGAGAGAGAGAGAGAGAGAGAGAGAGAGTAGTAATAGTGATAGAGAGAGAGAGACGTACGTGTGTCGGAGAGAGTAGTAGTTATTAGAGGAGGAGAGAGAGGAAGGTA